CGCAACAAACCTATAAATATAAAACAAAAAAAATGCCTTTAAGAACATAACCATATTTATTTTTTAATTATGAATCTTCTTAAAAGAAATAAAAATTTAACTTTTCTTTTTAAGATAATTCTTGGGAACATTAAAGTTATTTGTTTGTTTGAATTAATGGCTCAGCGGTAAGTCTACAGACTTACGCGTTAAAAGTCGGATTTGGATACTTGTGGTGGGCAGAATACAGATAGACCATTGTGTGGCTTTGTGCTTAAACAAATGCAACTAACCAACCGGATATTCGCAAAACGCTACACTTGAACCATATGTGCTACTTGTTCCTAATTTTTGAACTGTTAGACTGGAGGGAAAATAGCTAGTCAACACCACCTTCTGCTAACTTTTGAATTATTCCAGTCTCATCGAATAGTGGAATATAACTATAACCATTATACTAAGGCGGCATCAGAGCAGTGCAAACCGTGCAATTACATGAGGTTCTGAACGAGTGAAGTGATAAGTTGAAAGATATTAAATTTTCGTGTTGAGGTAAATTTATCTCGACTTTATCAATAAACTAAATGGCGTTAGAAAATGATAAACACCCTATAACCTAAGCGCTTTCGAAAGGTGGACTTTTCTTCTTCAAGGGCAAACTTGGAATTATGGTGTAACCAAATGAGTGATATATAAAAATGGAATTGAATGATGTCATGAAGGTCATCTGGTCTTCCAGGAAATGCTTGATATATTGTTACGACAGCGGAAGTCACGTGACGCTAGTAACACGTCATGAGCTTTTAGAAATTTTATGTCCCTTTGTGAAGCCTCGAGTGTTTATTAGATATGCGGTATTCTTGTATATAAGACCGCCAAGAAGTGACGACAACAAAGTAGTTAAATTGCAGACAGAGATAGAGACGGACAGTTGGGTCGAGCGCGTGTGTCGTTCGTTGTGAATTATAGCGTTTGTTTAAGCTATAGTGTGACCGTGGAAATTAAGTGAATTTCAAAGTTGTATTGAGAAATAATAAACTAGTTTTATTTAAGAAAGGACTTATATCGCTAAAGTTTCATTGGAAAGAAATTATACGGGAAATTAACTAACGATCAGAGAGTAACAAATTGGTGTCAGAAGTGGGATGGAAAAAAAATGGAAGCGAGAAGCGGTAAATCAAACAACAGCTTAGCAGATTTGATGGCAGCAATACAAGAACAGCAAAAGAAACAAGAAGAACGAGAAAAGAAGCAAGAAGAGAGATTACAGCAGTTGTTGGAGGAAAAAAGAAAAGAAACAAGAAGAGAGATTACAGCAGTGGCAAGAAAACCTGCAACAATGGCAGCTCGAACAGCAAAATAAACAAGAGAGATTACAGCAGTTGTTGGAGGAAAAAGAAAAGAAACAAGAAGTACGAGAAACGAAACAAGAAGAGAGATTACAGCAGTGGCAACTGGAACAAGAAAGAAAACAGGAAGAAAGTCTCCAACAATTGCAGAAAAGTCAGCAGCAACTACAGGAAAGTCAATAACAGTGGAAAGAAGTACAAATGGAAAAAGTACGAGAAAAGAAACAAGAAGAGAGATTACAGCAGTGGCAACTGGAACAAGAAAGGAAACAGGAAGAAAGTCTCCAACAGTTGCAGAAAAGTCAGCAGCAACTACAGGAAAGTCAATAACAGTGGAAAGAAGTACAAATGGAAAACATTAGTAAATTTCAAAGCGAATTAAATACATTAAACGATGATTTATTGTCTTTTACACAAGGAGGATACATTAACCATCGACTTAATCAGCCCAGACAATGGCAAGCCCCTTCCAGACCCCTTAGCTAAACCCTAATGCAGACATCTTCAGTCCTGTTAGAAGTCACATCCCAGATATGAATGTCAGCAATAGGGGTGATCCAGTACGAAGGAAGCCATAGGAATTCGATTGAAGGGCACTTGTGGCAGGTCATCAAGTAGTACCTATAACAGTGGCCAATTTTTCTAAATGTGAGCAGACACTTAAGGAAAGGGTATTGTTGGGTATGTGCCAGTCAATGTTAAAGCAAGAAATACAACTATAAAGAAAGGACATACACTTCCAGAGCATTTAACTGACCTCTATAAAAAGAGCACAGTCCATTTGGCATCATCACAGGCTCTTCAGGTAAAAGAACTTTTGGCAAATTATGCTGACGTCTTTTCGAAAGAAGATCATGACCTCGGCTGCACAAACCTTGTAGAGCACAGAATAAACATCCAATAAAGATCCCTCCGAGAAGAATAGCTCCAGCAAAGCAGCAAGAGATATAAAATGTCATGGATGGTCTAATTAAGGAAGGGATAGTTGAGAAATCAGATAG